ATAGATAGATAGATAGATAGATAGATAGATAGATAGATAGATAGATAGATAGATAGATAGATAGATAGATAGATAGATAGATAGATAGATAGATAGATAGATAGATAGATAGATAGATAGATAGATAGATAGATAGATAGATAGATAGATAGATAGATAGATAGATAGATAGATAGATAGATAGATAGATAGATAGATAGATAGATAGATAGATAGATAGATAGATAGATAGATAGATAGATAGATAGATAGATAGATAGATAGATAGATAGATAGATAGATAGATAGATAGATAGATAGATAGATAGATAGATAGATAGATAGATAGATAGATAGATAGATAGATAGATAGATAGATAGATAGATAGATAGATAGATAGATAGATAGATAGATAGATAGATAGATAGATAGATAGATAGATAGATAGATAGATAGATAGATAGATAGATAGATAGATAGATAGATAGATAATAGATAGATAGATAGATAGATAGATAGATAGATAGATAGATAGATAGATAGATAGATAGATAGATAGATAGATAGATAGATAGATAGATAGATAGATAGATAGATAGATAGATAGATAGATAGATAGATAGATAGATAGATAGATAGATAGATAGATAGATAGATAGATAGATAGATAGATAGATAGATAGATAGATAGATAGATAGATAGATAGATAGATAGATAGATAGATAGATAGATAGATAGATAGATAGATAGATAGATAGATAGATAGATAGATAGATAGATAGATAGATAGATAGATAGATAGATAGATAGATAGATAGATAGATAGATAGATAGATAGATAGATAGATAGATAGATAGATAGATAGATAGATAGATAGATAGATAGATAGATAGATAGATAGATAGATAGATAGATAGATAGATAGATAGATAGATAGATAGATAGATAGATAGATAGATAGATAGATAGATAGATAGATAGATAGATAGATAGATAGATAGATAGATAGATAGATAGATAGATAGATAGATAGATAGATAGATAGATAGATAGATAGATAGATAGATAGATAGATAGATAGATAGATAGATAGATAGATAGATAGATAGATAGATAGATAGATAGATAGATAGATAGATAGATAGATAGATAGATAGATAGATAGATAGATAGATAGATAGATAGATAGATAGATAGATAGATAGATAGATAGATAGATAGATAGATAGATAGATAGATAGATAGATAGATAGATAGATAGATAGATAGATAGATAGATAGATAGATAGATAGATAGATAGATAGATAGATAGATAGATAGATTAGATAGATAGATAGATAGATAGATAGATAGATAGATAGATAGATAGATAGATAGATAGATAGATAGATAGATAGATAGATAGATAGATAGATAGATAGATAGATAGATAGATAGATAGATAGATAGATAGATAGATAGATAGATAGAGGTTTCAAGCGAAAGCAACTCATCCAGTTCCTATGCTTAAGCTATCTCCCCCCCCCCCCCCCCCACTTTTCGTTGTGATAAAGTGATATGACTTTTCGTTGAATAAAGCATGCCACCGAATAAATAGAACATTTTTGAAATCCGACTCAAGACTACGAAACTCGAATATATATATTCGAGACTAAGGCGTTGCAAAAGGAAATATATCCACACATTGATAAAAATTGGTAATTTAGCGTATCACATGAAGTAGTTAGATAAACCTTATTAACAGTCTCAATTTAGTCAAAGCATGTAAGCATACATGACGTGATTTTCACGCGCACGACACATCATACCCTCCTTTATTTATTTTACACGGTTTGTATAGATATGCTTTTTGTGACATGCACTAATTGTTATAGCCATAAATAAAAATAAAAACACATCGCAGACACATAGAACTGTCGTCCGACACAGAGTTACGATAACACGTTTGTTGGAGAAAATCACATTTACCACTACAACGTGGTAAAAACAAAACGAATCATCTTGTGTTATTACTCTTTATTTTTGGCTTTGACGATGAAAGCCAGAACCCGAATCCACTGGCATTTAGTGACCACGGTGCCAATTGAAATGTATTGGTTGGAGTCATAAACAATTTAATCCACGAAAGCTACAACGCATAAAGAAATCTCGATCGATTACACTAAGAGTGTAACAACTGGTGTTGTCTTTATTTGACACTGGGTGACCAAATAGTTTGCGTTCTAACCGGTAATAATACACCAGAATATCAGTCGGCTTTGTTTGTATGCATGAAGTTGGTTGTCTCGTAACTTTTGAATAGTCTTTGGCGCGATCATAACACTCAGCCTTGGCGACCCACAATCGTCAATATCTACATAGCACAGAAATATATTGACTCATAGGCAGAACAATCGTTTACCTGATGTCGAAGCAGATTTCTATTTTCTATACTAAATCATACAGGAAGACGAGGGCTAGATAAGTGAAGTGTGGATAAATTTCCAGTGCTCTCGTGGCCCAAATTAGAACTCATACAGGGTGAAGAAGAGGTATAAAAAAATGCTAAGGATAAAAGCCTATTGCGTAAGTTATAAGTAGGCCTTGAAATAAGAAATGGACAGTGATGTCCGTAGAGGCGTGCACTGCAGCGCATTTTAGTGTTTGTACGAAGGACGAATAAAGAACTATTTGAGATTATGTGAACGAAAAATCCCATCTCCAACGCCTTACTCAGTTTAGGGTGTCTTGTTTTTGTCGTTTCCTTCATCCTATGCTATGCAAATTGGGGTCTGAGAACATTTCGGCAATTTTAAATAATCCACTTGAGCGAGAGAAATAATCCACTTTTAAATAATCCATTTAATCTAGCGTTAGACTTTTAATCGACGTAACACTTCTAAATTCTTAATAATGTCAGGGAGGACCCCCTTCTAATTCAAACGTATATAATGGACATTTACTCTAATAGAAAATTTCTACATTGGCTAATTTATGGAGTTTTTCTATTGTATGCCTATAAGTTTATATAAGATTTAGATGAAATAAGCATAGTATACTGTCGTAGGATAATAGCGTTATTATAACGACCAGTTTCATATATTTTTCTTAATTTAAATAAGTAGAGTAGTTCTGACTATCCGAAACCTTGTTACTGCAAACGGTCTCTCTAAATGGTCCAAATATGTCATAATAAAAACACTTTATTACTTAATAATCACAACACTGAAATCATGCAAATACATAGGTCAAAGTAAATAATAACATATAAGGTACTATAGATACGGCCGCATTAGGAAACCGAGTATGGGCAGAATGCAAACTCCAGATCGTATGTTCTGGGAAGCGTATTTCCGTATAACACTGCAACAACAAAAGTAAACAATAGAAAATTGATTAAAAAATAGGAAGGTTATTTATTAAGGTTAAAATACAAAAACTAAGTTCCCAATAATACGCAGCATACGAAATTGCATGAGTTACTTCACATGGGATGATATAAAAATGGAGAAAATAATATTTGTACTAAAAATACGAACACAGATTCGTGATTGATGATATATTACATGATTGGCTCATATATAAATACTAGCTTAACTGACGTTGTTCGATATTATTGTGTTAAGAAAAGGTCGTTTTGAATTTTTCAAAGGTAAATCAAAGACAATTCCCTAATGACGTTGCAAGTAACTGGAGACTAGATCTTATGCAAGAGGACCATTTATACCATTAGAGTAAACACTCAAAAGACTCAATTTTTTAGAATTCTTCATATAGTCATAATAGTTCTTCTTGTCTTGATTATTCGGTCTATTTAATAAGATTCGTTCTTGACTTTTATCTATTAAAACGCAACACATCCTATCCACGTAGTAAAAACTAGCAATATCTTAAAATGGATACTTAATGATTTGTTTCATATATGATAATGTTTGTACGTCTGTCGAAAACAGAAAGCCACCAATTAACTAAAAGATGATTTTTTGTAAATGACTCGGAATTCCGAAAACAGAGGATGCAAAAATGATTTTAACTATGTACGTAAGATCTGAACGGATAATGCGTATCCTTGAAGGTTAGATTACGCTCTGTATGGGTGAGAACAGATGACGACGTAGTAATTGGTTCAAATAAGGGCAGTTCATTTTTAATTGTGGGCAACCGATTCTTAACCCAGAAATTACATTTGTACATTGTCAATTTTTTCAGCTGAGCTTTCTCCTGCAATGATTACACTGGTTAGGAGTCGAAATTAATAATGAAAAATTTAGTTCATAAAGTATTTGAGGAAATTTGGCGCGCAGAATATATAATGTATGATATAATTAGAACAAAAGCTACTACGAAGTATTAAGTTTGCAAATAGAACCTGGCCATAGCGGTTTACAGCTTAAATACTTTTTATTAAAATATTATAACTTACTAATATTTTACAGCCTGTAGCATATGTTACGGCAATTTTTCAATTAGAGAATATGTCGTATTTTTTCAGAATAACGTTAACTACAGAAAATATTTCATGGATGTCGAAGAGGCCGTGCGTGTAGAACCACAAGTTTAAGGTAGCATGATGAGCTTCGTCTCCAACTTTGGCTTTTGCATAAAACTAAGCTTACGACTGGCTTGCCGAAGTAGACGCAACGAGTGGTATATACTCTTGTTGGGGATAATAAAGATCATACTTTTTCAAACAGCCATAAGCATATATGGTGTAGTGCAAAAATAATATACCCTCTCTGGCGTAAATGGAAATACGACACGTTATGTCGAAGGCAACTACTTTGTGACATCTGTCGGAAGAGAGATGTCACAAAGTAGTTGCCTTCGTTGGCGTTAAACATAGATTATCTCAGATCATTTCCTAAAGATGACAAGACCAGCATATAAGAGTACCGAAGTCATTTGTTGCTATCAACGGGGCCTGACCGCCCTTGAGATTGTAAGACGACCTGACATGCATCAAAGAACTGTAAACCGGATTATTACTCGCTTCAAAAAACGGGAGAGACCCAGCATTGTAAAAGTTCGGGTCGGCCTGTGCGGTTTACCACAGGACAGTTTGTACAACTTGTTGAGAAACGTATTTGTTCAAATCTGGGGAAATCAGCGAGGGCTTTAGTAAGGGAACTTGGCGCTAGTCGCACCACTATTTCGAGAGTTATCAAGGATAAACTGGTACGTTGCCGCCATGATTTCATAAGTTCTGTTTTCATAACGCACGCCCATTAAATTAATCTGGTGAGTTAATTGTTTGACAAAAACGCGTGTCACTAAATTCAGTTCTTTGACTTCTAGCAATAAAACGTTGAAAACACGAGAAAAAACCCAAACGACACATTTTCGAATAGTTATAAAATTTTGGTCCAGCAATATATTCTCTTATTTTTTTAGGTTGCTTAATTGTTGGTGGCCAATTTACCAAAATACAAGCGATAATTGACAACTTGGATACCCTATGATTATGAAACCTAAATCTTTTGTATTATCTCGAACGCCGTCGGGCTGCACTACATCCTGTTTAACATGATGATCGCACTCGAATTCGTGCTTCGATCTTTGTCCACCAGGGTTAAACTTTAATTTCGAATACTTCTCTTAACCTAGAAGTCTGCATACCATTTCGTAATTTTTGAACTCAAGGCCCAGGCTCATAGTCGTCACCCGAAGCTTTTTTGCGCCCATGAAATTGTTATACGACATGTTTGAAGATGAAATACAGCCAATGAATAATATTGATTTCTCCCAAGATTGTTACTATCCTGAATGGATATTTCAGTACAGCATTTTTCTTGCGTAAAACCAACGCAAAAACCTTCGTGATATTTCTTTCGGTCCATGCGGTTGAAGTTTATGAAAAGTCTGAAATAAAGGATATCACTTCTCAGAATAATGATCGGATGCAAAAAAGTTATTCAATTATGTCAATGGAATGGTACGTTATAACTCTACACAGTTGTTCGGCCAGTTATGTGTTTCTCTTTTTTTGTAGTTTCTAGCGGTAAAGTGTATATGAGCGACCCGTGGTTCTATTGAGAAATATATAAATGTTCTGTTTAACGAGCTCTATTACCCCTTCTAGAATTGGCATTAAGTTCGAAGACTGCTTATTGGGGCAGTTACTCTTGTGGAACGTACAACCTTGCCACAAACCGTTTCGAGGATCGCAAACGTAATTTCGTAACAATGTCTGAACATTATATCGATAATAACGGTACTGCTCCTCACATATTATTTCAATTGTCATTTTCGTACGTTTTTGTCCACAGGGGCTGTTCTATATATGTGACGTCATAATCATTCCTGACGACATAGCTAACTCTGAGAACTCCATGAAATATGGTGAGCCATGCATGATGATTGCGCTCAAGAAAGAGTACGAAGATCCCAGCTGCCTCAATATAGTTCTAGATGAAGTGCCGTTCCCCGAGGCAGTTAGGTCTAAGCAAGGGGCCCATTCATTGAAGATGGTACAAAGGCAGCTTGCATTGAACCGCTTTACCAAGGCACAGTTGTTGCAATCAAAATCGGTTCGAAGCTTGACGTTAACTAGTTTAGCATGAATAGATGCAGTTATTACATTTGGCTAACTAAGGCTTCATTAGTTAGACTCGTATCATTTGCTGTCTCAGACGTAGCCTATGTAATACAACTGAAAGAGCAAGCCACCGGATAAAACAGGTTAAGACAACGTATTCATAAAATTTTCTTGTGATATATTTAACGTGTATATGATGACTACAGCTATTCTCATATTCAGAATAGAAAGTTGCCTCGGTAGGAAGCATGGGGATTCTAGGGAGAGACTTTGTTCGATCGTTAAGGGCAAGACAATATAATTGCGAAGTTGGCATATATTGGCTTACCCTGAAATGTTGCCTGACGTTCCTATAGGCTGTTACCTATTATTATTATTATGTGAAGACGCACGGACAGCTATCTGTAACATTACATGCCACTTGCTAGGTCGATCAGCTTCGAGAAATTTTGCGGCCTTATGTCCATTAACGCCAAACCCGATGATCCTCAAGGAGGGACATGCTGTGGGAGCGAAATTTTAATGGAATTTGCCGAGCAAGTTAAGAAATATAGTTCCTCCTGACAAAACTGAACGGGAAGAGGTCTAACGTTTACCGCTCGCGGAGATTGGCGCTTTCAGTGCCAATAAATGAAACAAGACATCTCCCAGACTTAATAGTAGATGATTGGCCAATTGCCACTCGAACTGACCCAGAAAAAAATCAAACATTTCGAATGTCAGATGAGTCTGTCGCGTGTATTAGTGAAAGCTAACGATCAAACATTTGCGCCCACCAACAGGTTGGAGACAACGATAATTGCGACGAGCTGCCCAGCATTATTGGCCTTCTACGAGTGACAAATGCACGTTCGTCACTAGCAATGGCCAGAACGAGCTTGAGAAGCACTATTTAGATAAGCATTGCATCTACGAATGTGCTATCTGGAAGCTGCGTGTGATTGGCAGGCAAGCCTTGATGTCTCACAGAATGGGACATCGGCTTACCTCATGCTCGTTGGAAAACGTTCCTGAGTCAGCGTCGGTAAAGAAAACCAAATCGAGTCTAAGGTCAGAAGGTCCAAGCAGCAGAGCCGAGATACGTTTGCACAATATTCTCAATGACAACAATACAACACAATGTTCTTGAGGTACACTGTAAATCGGAGCACACCAGACAACAGACAACACACACACAGAAAAGTAAGTAAACCACACACAGCCCTCAGACATCTAATTAATAAAGACGATTTCATTCGTGACGTACCTAGACCATACCATAGGCTAGGACAACACTAACAGGTCCAGTGTACCGATATCAATTAGATGTCAGGATGCTTTCATCACGTAGAAAGTTATGTTGTAAAATTTTTAATCCAATTGTCAACTGTACTGTTGTATCACAAGTGAATTATCTTAGAATTATAGTGGTGTCTATGCCGCTGCATCATATCAGAAAACATCGCCGAATTTGGTGAGAGTGCACCCTTTGCCACATGAGCATAAGCCACGAGACCTGTAAATCTATTGGCATGTTCTTAGTTTTTAAGGCCTCATAAGGTCCGAACACTGTCTTCATTGTAGGAATATTTATGTAAAAAATGTTTATTTGCTATAAAACAGTAGAAATGCACGTTGTGTTTCAACCAAGTGAACTAACAACGCAAATACTAAGCGAACTAACCAGGAGTAACCAAAGGCATGCCAAAAAGCTTTTCAATGTTGCAGGAGTCTACATACAGGTAAGAAAACTCTTGGTTGCCTGAACTGGTAGAACTAACTTTATTAACTTAAGGACGTTGTTTTCCTGTTCTGGGGTGGCAAAAGGCGACGTTAATATTTTTTGCTTTCTGAGTTCGAAGACTGATTTGAGTTGATTGGAAGAACAAATCGAAACGTGCTGAATTATTACCTTTGCTGCTGACAGATTTCAGAACTGGACCATGCCCGTTTTCTAATTGTGACCTGTTTTTCCCGTTCTGTTTTGTTGAACTAACTAGAATGAATAGCGTGTTGCTCTTCTACTTAGCCGCAGCTTTTGCTTGCCGTTTAAACAATAGCTCAAAAACCAGCTTGTCCGATGGCCGTTTTAATCTGGTAATTACAGCGGCGAAAGTTTCGGACTAGAAAGAAGCATTCGTTCGCTCTCCTGAGACGAGTGCCATTTGAGAACGGTGTCGTTTATTCTGTGAAGGCGTAACTGGCAGCGAACCGGGCATAGTTTCGTGAATTCAGTCATATCTACCTGATGTGATGTGGCGCACATTGGCGTTGGGAGTTAGTGATCATCACGTGACCCTGTCACTCGGCCCGGCAAGTTCTCTCGGCGGCACTTTTTGAACACTTTCTTCAATAATCAAACGTGATTCATATCTTACCCTGTTAAAGTTTCCTTGGAACAGTTTTTTTTTTTATAGTCAGTTCTTTTTTTAAGAATTTACTGTCTTTTTTTAGATGAGCCTTTCGGACGAATTTAATTGTTTTCACCATTCTATTTTACTGCGAAATTCCTCGTAGAATTTTTTTCTCGCTGTTGTATTCGATGACTAAAATACCGGGTCGTTCCCCAGTTTCCGTGCTTGTTACTTTTTCAACCGCCGACCTGCTCAATCCTGCTTTTCCCAAAATGGGGTTTCACCAGTATCTTAATGCGAGTTCCTAAAGAGAATGAGATGGATGACTGTATCAGGTTCTGATACAGTCCTAATATGATAGGACCTGCAAGAAGTAGATTGTCATCTGGTACTATTCAACACATTTGTATCTGAATACATATCATATAATCTATGAACATGGTTACCGAAAACTACGTTCTTCATTAAAGTTCGTTGCATATTAAGTTAGCCAGAAATACTTTTTACGCTTTAAAGATAAATATATTATATTTAATGCGTAAAGACGAATTGTCAAGCCTATGGCTTATCGAAACGCGTTACTGTTTATCTTAAGCACGGAGACATTGACTTGTGTTGGAAGTCTACTCAGCTGAATTTGTCGTAAGCAACCAGTGCTGCAAAAGTTCGAATTACCGTAACGCCAACAATAAAATTCAGAGTATGCTACTGAAGTAACGAAGCTTGAAAGCCAAGAAACTAGATGAACCCTAAGAAGTATTTAGGTCAAAAAGTGGAACCTTTGTTAAAATATTTTTCATAAATGCGAATTGCCTATCATTTATAAAAACTGTCCCGTTTGAAAAACCCGGCGGAAACTGATCGGAAAATGGCAAAATAAATACGCGTACTGCGCAGAGCATTAAGGCGAGGTGCTATAGGTCGTCTTTATTCTATTGCATTTATAGGCGTTGATACTGTATGACAATAGCGACCCTTAGAATTCTTAACTCGATTAGCGGTACAAATATCTTATTAGCTTGATAAACGTTTTTCGTCGGGAGAGACTTCCCAGACAGATGGTTACTCTTTTCTACGAATTTAGTGGAGCTCTCCTCACGAACATACTCGTGACTGTTGTAACAGTCCTGCAGTTCTTTACCAGGCATTAAATAAATGAGTATTCAAACTGTAAAAACAGTGTGTTTGTTGGTACTGTAGTAGAAATCGAAAATTTTAACTTTCATTGTAGTTCATCTGACTCATGTAACTTTAGACACCGAAAATAGTTAATCCCGTTAGCTGGACTGCGCACACGGCTTTGTCAATTTTTGCGTACGATTTGTTGAAAAGACGGCGCCATTGTAAATAGCAAAGATGTATAGACGGTTGCGCAGTAGGCTGCAAAGTCTGCGATGATAACTTCACCAATTTTTCGACGTAAGTAGACCTTCAGTTATTATTCATATGTACTTACGAAACGATATTTAAGGTGCTTGCTCTTGGTTTAGGTCACAGAGATGAATCAAATAAAAATTGTTAAGAGACTTTGTTTAGATTAAGCTAAGTTGACGCCGCTGATCGCCTCATGGGATTTTCGAGTTCTCAAAAGGTGGTTTCACAATTGTGTAGATATAACTAGGTAATTATTTTAAAATTCTCAAAAGACTATTACAGCCACTATTCGGCACGTCAACTGAGACGATGGAGAATACTTCCAAAGAAAACCAAAAAAAAGCAAATGCGCTTGCAAATGTGTCTATGTGTGCAGTCATACGACCAATTGCTGAAACCTAACCAAGGCTGCAGGGTCAGGTGATGAGACGAACCACAATGCCTTTCGATGTTAGCCCAACTATATCTGTTGTGAACGGAAAAACTTCTGCCCGCAATCGATCGAGGAAAACATCGATAATACTCACCGTTCATGTAAATGTATCTGCATTTGCGTAGACTGTTGCCAAAAAAACGAAGCCTACTGCTACTGTTGCGCGGACACTGATAATGAAGAGCAAAGGGAAATGGAGGGCTGCGAATAAACTTCGAGGCGCATTGTTCGCATTTGTCTGACCTCTTACAAGAAAGGGTACTTCAAACCGAGAAACAGCGGTGTAATTTCTAAAGGAAATGAGTCAACGTCTGGACAAATGGATCGGCGTGTGCACCTACAGGAAAAAATGCTGACACATCTGATATTGGAAAAGACCATGAGGCAACAGAGATCTCTGAGTGCTCATCTAAGAGCATTTTGATCTGTTTAAGCGGCTGCGAGAAGGACTGCTGCGACGCAAAGTAGGGCTCTGACGAAGAGAAGAAGAACAGCAAGAGTTCTCGCAGATGTATCTGTATTTATGTATGTTGTTGCAAGATAATTTATGAAAACTATCTGCTGCTTAGCCGAGAGTTCTGATAAGGAAGAAAAGTCTTGCAAGGGCTCGTGTTTGCGTTTGGCTATGTGACCACAATTGCTGCAAGGCAAATGGTACCAAGGTGAATTCCGGCGAAGAGGCAAAGGCCGTTGGCTGTTACCGGTTCAAGTGCCGTATATGCCTGTGCTTTTACCAAACAGGAGTATTGCTACGTGCATGATACTTCCAATAATTCCAATGTAAAAGAAAAGAGCTGCAAATGGTCGTACGAAGGCAAAAGACGTCTTCGCGGAAAAAGAAAAGTTCTGTAAATGCCCGCCCCAATGCATCTGCGTTGCTGTTTGTGCTGTTACAAGAACGGTTATTGTTGGTCTTGCTTTAGCGTTCTCAGCGATAAAGAAAAATATATAAAAATTGCAAGTATCAATCAAAATGCATTTGTTTCTGCATTCATTATTGCAGATAGAGTGCCATATTCGGTAACAGGTCCAGGACTATATTCTACAGTTATACCACAAGTATAAAGGCCAACAGTTCTGTTGATGTCCTACACAAACCATATGCGAATAATAAATTATCATGTCTATTGGTAAGGAAAAAAACAGACCTGGCTGTATATTTCTTGTACTAAGATTTCATCCGACCGTATCTGCAATTTTGTGTTATTTCATTGGTACATCACAAATTCTACCGACCTCTTATACTATACGATATACATGAAGCATGCTTATCTGCAGAGGAATGTCAACTTGCAAATCTTTCCTTCAAATTAAGGCCTAGCTTCTTCCCTTTTCGCAGTGATCTTGGCCGCTGTATTTATCGAGTCAAGAACCGTACCTCAGCTAACCAAAACCTAAGACAGCCTTTTCTGTCGTAATGTGTGCGTCCTATAAACAATCGATTTGTATAGAAGAACAAAAAGTCGTAGGTATAGGGTAGGCCAATTATACGCACACAATTACAAAAATTGAAATTTCCGCTTTTAAATGTGGCACCACCACCCAGACCAGTGTTTTAGAATGTTCTGAAATTTATAAACAATTTAGCTACAGACCAGAAAGTTCCCTGGTGGAACTATAACCCAAAGTCAACTATTCTTTAAAATACCTCTGAAGCAAGAAATCTGCACTAGGAATTAGCTCGCAGTCATTCAAGAATCAATTTCTGACAATTCTGGAGTCTTAATTGAGATATTCATACCTATTTTCAAAAAGAGCGAATGCACAATCAGTATATTCTGTGTGTCTAGGTATTTACAGCAGTCGTCATTACTGAGACTTTTCGGGCCACCGAATGTATTTCAATAAGAATAATTTGCTTTAATCAGAAATAGACATACTTTGGTTTGAAAGGTAAATGAAACAGTTCACATAAAATTATAATACAGATGATGTACAAATAATGGTATAAATTGATCCCGGTCGCATGTATAGAAACCTAGAAGCAAAAGAACGCATTAATAACATAACCAGTCAACGACAGTCCACCTAAAACTTAAATTACTAAAAGGATTATGAGCGATTTAGATCGACGACGATATCAGCCCTCCAATGTACATTCAATGAGGATGAATGATTAATTAACTATGATATAAATCAATAATTAGTCGCTTTTCATTCGTAGAACTACTCGAATTTATATGTTACACATCAGCCACAGCTTGGTCATGGCGGTCTACTCTATATATGCTCCCCTTCCACATCATACCACATAACGTTTCTATCCGCTTTCGAAAAGAATTCGATCCATCTATTTACAACTAACTTGAATATAGTCAGTTTTTCCTTTTTAAAGCACAAATTATGATATATTGTAAGCCGGCATTTGAAATGTACGCAGTCATGCACAAATCCGATCAGAGTTTTACTTGACTACTCATTTATTTCCGATTATTGTTGACAGTTGCAGTTAGATGCCATTTACCATAATAATACTAATAAAAATAGCGTAATAATATTTATCATCTATTAGCCTCTGTTATTTTCTCTTAATAAGTATTATGCACCCCTGTCAATTCATGCAACGCTTATTTCGAACATCGTCAAATGCGCTCCTACAAGTACTGCTGCACTGACATAGCCAAGCGCTACATTTTGTCCAAATCGGCTAAGTAGCACTTGAACGGAACGAGTGGTGAAATTTGTTCTATCCAATTAACTCTACTGGCGTTATAACGCAGCACGACATTTATTCAGTACTATCTGTGACGTAGTTAACAACGTTTTCCTACACGGGCCTAGCGTGATGTTGTTTGTATAAGCAAGCCTTGCCTTATCCTGCGCTATGAGAGTTAGTCGTCCGTGTCGTCTGCTATATATTTACAGTCTGTCCCCAGCCCAAACGCAGTACAGTGAGCTAACTGTCGATGGCATCGCATCAAAGCGACACAACACAGTCTCCGAAATTAGATGAATGTTTTGTCCACATTGAGCGCTTACTATTTATTTGGTAAAGATAGCAGCCTTACTATTGTCGTTTCATATGCTTGTCGAAAATGAATATAGTATCCTTTCTATTAAGCAGAGCAGTCTCCCATCTCGCTGAACACAGCATACTACTCATGTGGGTACCATAGCTGTAGCTCAATTAAATGCGGTTGATTTTATTAGCTTTAAATAGTGCACCATCACTTGTGTAGGATGATAATCTGTTTTGGAATAATGCTACCAATGGATTAGTAATGAGTTCCTTCTATTACGTTTGAGACTAGAGTGATGATCGAAAACAAATCTCAGTTATATTTTGTTCTTGTCGCAAATGTGAATTTCTTCAGAGGTTTACGTAGCACTTGGCGACCGAGCGTGTCCCCCTGATAGCTTTGCGAATAACGTATTTGCCGACTAACTTCGGGAACACGTTGTGATCTAGGTTTGAATAGATATACTTTGTCGTTTCATGATGGCTACGAGCCAGCAATCTGACGGAATGTTTAACGACCATACCAAATGTAAACTCAAAACAAAAAGAGACGCAGAGAAACGTGTAGGGGCAAACGGCGCATAGAACTTGCCCATGATATATATGTGAAGTAAGCTTATCAATCACTTTCTTTTCCGTCATTGCTGGCATTACGGTTCGCGACTACGCAGTTATATATTGACTATATATACCATATATACATATGCCACATATTGAGAGGCTACTGTCCTGTTGGAATTTGACCAGTTAGAACGTCTGATTAAACAGGTGGCCGAAGCCCACTATTTCGGTGACCCTGCTGTTGTTATTATCATTATTCTAGTTGCTGTAGGGCAGCAGTTAGCTTTAGTACGATAATAAATACCTACATGTACAAATGTCTAAATTCGTGGTTGCTGCTTCCGCTGGCAAGCGACCGTCTATATCTAACGCGACAAAGATTGGGATGCACAGTTGTCCACGTTTACCTGCTCAGCAGCACCGAGGTCGTTTGAAGTTGCCCTATGTTCGCCGCTAATCTGTCCTCGCTATTGCACTATATAATGGCTTCTCGATAATGGCTCATAATTACATTTTCCTTCAGATGCAACAACACTTTTGCGCCCACGCATTTGTCACTCGTTCCAAAGAGAGTTTCTTTGTACGCTAGCTGATCATTGTCAAAAACTGGATCTTATAGGTTATTTCGTTTCATTTGGTTCAAGCTTCGATTTTAGTAACCACACCACTCGTAATTCATACACGAAGCGACGGTCCTCCACCATTTGAAACATTAGTTCTTTCGAAGTCTCGTTTTGTGGTCATCACGATCTGAAACGATTT